GTAAGGCTCCGGGGAGAGCAGGCCGGCGTGGGGCAGCCTGTCCACACCCCCCTCCCTCAGTAGAGTAAAGCCTCCGGGCAGAACGAACCGAAGGCGAATTCCCGCCGCTGCCGTCGCCTTGGACTACATTTCCCATCACGCTGGGCTGGATGAGCGTTGCCCCCGCTGCCTGTGGAAAGGGCACCCCGCGGCCTCCGGCCCGGCCCCCGCGCAGGGCGGGCCTCCCAGATCGGCTTGCTCGTTGGCGGGCGACTGAGCAGGGCCGTCGGGGGAGCGTGGGCTCCCGGCGCCCCGCGGGTGGGCTTTCCCCGGGCGGGTCTCCGGGTCTTCCAGCAGGCGCTCGCTGCCCCCGCGACCGAGTCCCTTCCCGGGCTGCCCCCGGTCACCCCCTTCTTCCCTTCCCTTCCCTTCCCTTCCCTTCCCTTCCCTTCCCTTCCCTTCCCCCTTCCCCGCGTTACGGGCTTCTCGGGGAGCCGTGGTTTCCATGGCCTGGTTGATTCCGTTCCAGCAAGTCTGTGTTGGCCCCTAGACAGACTTTGTCTACGACCGTCTGTCCCCGGCCTGGTCCTCCAGTGGTGACCTCGTCGCCACCGCAACCGAGTCCCTCCCCTGCTGCTGTTCGTCCCCTTCTTCTCTTTCCTCCCACCTTTCCCAGAATCAGAGCCTCCTGCAGAGAGCTAGGTGTTTGCACAGCGTGTAGGATAATTTGAGCCTGGTCTTTTGTGCCTCTGGGTTGATTTGTTTGATGATCCATCAGTTTGTTTTCTTGGCTGTCCAGGGTCTTCTCAGGAGTCTTCTCCAACGCCAAAGTTCAAAGGCGTCCATACTCTTCCTCTCCTGCTTCTTCAAGGTCCTCCTTTTGCTTCTATAGAGTGTCACAGGGAATACCGTGGCGTGCATGATTCTGATCTTTGTAGGTACCGTGTAGACACGTCACATCACAGCATCTGCATATCTTTCCCAAGGCCTCCATGGCTGCTCTACCAAGCGCTAGTCTGTGGCGTATTTCTTGACTGCTTGTTCCTTTACTGTTGATGGTGGATCCTAAAAGGCAGAAGCTCTCCACCACTTCAGTTTCTTCATTGCTGACTCTAAGGTTGGTTGCCCTACGTGTTGTCATTAGTTGGGGTTTTATATTTAATCTCAGTCCCATTTTTTCTCTGTACTCTTTGGCTTTTATTAGTAGAGCTTGTACTCCACTACAACCAAAAAGATTATTGGTTGTTCACGGTAGAAATGCAATAAAGCACCCCTGGTAAAGGAATATAGAAATAAATAATCAGAAACAAATAATCACATAGCAATCCATCAGTCAATCGGAGAGTATTACCTCATTCCCTGCCCCACCCCTGGCCAAGGCTCTCCAAAGTAACTCAGTTTTTAATAGCTTATGGAAAGCCTATATAGTGGGGGCAATTTCTTGGGGAAGATTGTTCCAAAGTGTACATGCCCTTGCAGAAAAGACCATGTACTGGAGGAGGTCAAAAGGGTAGGAAGTGGTTAATCTTGATCAATAGTATACTCCAGTTATGTGAGGTCCTAGTGTAAATGAACGTGCTGAAGGCGAAAAAACCACTTCCTAATCGAACTAGAAAATCAGATTTTCATGCACTGTGCTTAATTCATAGAATCATTAAGTTGGAAATCAACCCCTTCTATGCAGGAATACAAATTAAAGCCTCCCTGACAGATGGTCCAAAGAAGGGAACCCTGCCACCTCTCTGCTTCGTTGGTTCCATTGCTCTAACACAGTGTTTTTCAACCTTGGCAACTTTGATGTGTGGACTCTCCCTGTTGACTAGAAATTAGCAAGGTTGATTCCAGGACAACCAGAAGCTTTGGCTAGAGAACCCTACTTTAGGCTGAGCATCTCTCCTTTCATCTCTCCCCAGAATGTTTGCATTTGGTGTTCTTGTATGGTTCCTTTACGTTTCTGCCCAGTTTCTCAATTCCCTTACAAGAGAATGGTGCCCAGAATTACTCCAAAATTGGCCTAACGGAAATTACCTAGTGCTTTATTTTTATTTCCTTAAGCTTGAAAATGATGCTTGTAAGTGCCTAATAAATGATCCTCCCTCCCTTCCTTTCCTACACAGATTCCTAGAGATGCATTGTTACCAGTTCTCTGTTTTTCCCCCCTCCCACCTCTCCCTCCCTGCAGACCTCACAAGAAGATGGCAGCCAGGCTGATGCATCGTTGGTATTGGCTCTGCAGAGTCTTCTCCCCTTTGGGCATCCAAACTGGCCAGTTGATGAAGGCCACAGGGTCAGCCAGACCCCCCTTTGCTTCAATGACCACTTGTAACCTCTCGCAAGCGGTAGATAAGCTTTCCATGAAGGAGCTGGAGAACAAACCACTGGAAAAATCTACCAGATGGGAAGACCTCATTGTCGCCTCTTCCAGTGTAGAAGAACTCCTCTGTTCAGAGAACCTTCACAACATCAATGGAAAACAGGCTGCCCTAATGATCACACACTTGTCCCATCTAGTGTCAAAGCTGAAACTGGACCATGAGGTCATAGTAAAGGATAAACGCTTTCAACAGCTACTCTACCACACATACAGGGAGGTACGTTTCAGAGCTCTTGAGTTAAGAAGTGTTCCTTCCTCTCCAATCTCTCTGTTGTGCGGCGGGGGGGGGGAGAAGAAAAAAATGGGTCAGGCACAGGAGAAATTGTCTACAGAAATTGCTTGGGTTTTTCCCCCCCTTATTTTTCTCCCCTTGCTTTCTGCAGGCATGTAATTGGAAATACATGAAGCTGTTTGTGTAGCGTCCTCAGGGCTGCCGGTGCCACCACATTCCTTCAATGTGTACTCCCCATTGTGTGCCTGCTTACTCTCTTGTAATCCCTTCCTCTCCAATCTCTCCACTGTGCAAGGGGGGGGTGGGAAAAAAGGAAAGCAACAGGTCAGATGCAGGACAATGCGTACTAACTGTAATGGTGATCACGTGACTGAGGGACACTGCGAAGGTTGTAAATGTGGGCTTACAAAAAAGGTTGTAAAGTTATTTTTTAGCACAGTCATAACTTTGAACGGTCACTGCGTGAGGCAGTCGCTAAGCGAGAACTACCTGTATCTAGTGTCCTGCTTTTTCCGTAAGAACTGGAAGGGGAGGTGGTAGAGCAGCGGGAACAATCCATGCCTGCTCACTCACTTCCTATGAAGCAGTGGGAACGGAGTGTGAAAGCAATGCTGTCTAAAACAGGAGCCAGCCCTGAGCGCACACATCCCGTTAACAGAAACACTTGGACATCATTTGTTAAATCTGATTTTCTTGGGTGCAGAAGGGCCAAGAGGTCATGGATTGAGAAATAGAGTAAAAAAAAAAAGGCTCAGGAATCCCAGTTCACAGCTTGGAGGGGGCATCTGAGCATGGTGGCAAACAACACCCCCCCCTTTCCACATGCCCATCTGTGTAAGGGAAGGCTGTGCCTCTTCTGCCCCCCAGGCTTCCAGGATCGATCAGATGCTGTTGATAAACCTCCTGAAGAGCCTCTATTTCCTGGGAGTGAGCCAGCAGCAGAAGGAGCTGCTCTCCGCGGAGCAGGAAGTGCGCTGGCGGATGAAGAGCCTGTCCTACAGGCGCCTGGCATCTCTGGCTACCTACATGTTCACCTATTTCCCGAAGGAGAAGCCCAATGAGCTCCTGAACGAGCTGATGGTCCAGCTTGAAATGCGCTGGACGGAGATCGAGGACGCTAATACCATAGCAATGCTGATGGCTAAGCAGGAATACTTCTCCCCTCAGCTAAAGGAGCGGCTGGAGGATAAGGTAACCCGCCGTCTGAGCTGGACCCAGCTCCCCAGGGGAGGTCCAGCTGCGCTGCCTTCCCTTCCTTTCAGCACGAGAGAATCAAATAGGCCCACCTGATGCCTTCACCCGTCGTGCAACTTTCCAACCTTCTGGGGGGTGAAAGTGCAGTTTCTGTACCGCTCCGTCCCCCCCCTTTTCACACGAAATGGGTTTGCCCACAGAGCCTGGAGCTGGCCATGCATTTCACTCCCGAGGACATTCGGAGGATCTCCGTCACCCTGGCGCAGCAGAACTTCCGTTCCTTGCCTCTCCTCCGAGCCATCTCCTACCATTTTGTCCAGAAGCACGTTGCGGTCACCCCGGACATCCTGCTAGACTTGGCTTTTGCCTTTGGTGAGTGGTGTTGACCAGCCTGCTCCCGGGCCCCTCCAGGTTTTTTTTACCCTGAAACTGGGTTCTCCACAGAGTTAGCAGAGCAGAACCATAGTCTTCTGGTCCAGCTTGACTGCCCCTTTAAGTAGCGTGTCCCACGGAGCCTTGGAACAAAATTGTGTTTTCTGGCCCTGCCTGGCTTCTGGGGTTGGAGGGGTTCGAAAGCACACGGAGAGTGATAGGTGAGGGAGTTGTTACTGCCTTGCGGTCGAGAGGTTGGGGTGAGAGGATGATCCTGGACGAGCTTTGCTGAGGTGGGGTGGATTGCAGGGAAGATGGCACTGCTCTGCCCGAGAGGGGGTGCCCCTTAGAAGACAGGCTTGAAAGGTGAAGCTCTGCCTTCCCACCCTGGTGCCTTCCAGCTGGGCTGGGCTATAGCTCCCATCATCCCCAGTCAAGTTGGTTGGGGGCCATGATGGCTGGGAGTCATACTCAAGCAGGCTTGGAGGGTGCTAGGTGGACAAGCATCCTTTTCTGGTGCTGGAGAGGCAAGAGAGCCAGCAGCTCCAGGGGATGTGAGAGAAGTGGGACAGGTGGGGGGGATTAAGGCTGGAATGTCTTAGGTGGTTTCTAATAATTCCTTGTGCCACAACAGAAGAGCTGGCACCGCGTTGGTTTTCAACTCCTATTGTTCCATGCAGCATTCTCAGCATGCACAACATTTTATGAAGTATAAAAAATCCCAGATCTCTGCCTTAAGGCGATGAGTCTGAACTTCATCAGGGATGGGGAAAGCTTCTTTTGATCCTTTCAAAAGTGGGAAGACTTTATGTTTGTCCTCAGGACTTTCCTGGCCCCTCCTCCATGTTCAGTTTGTTTCATCTTCTTCCAAAGTAACTGCTGACTCTCTCCCTCCCTCCCTCCCTCCCTGAAAGGGAAGCTGAATTTCCACCAGACACAGATGTTCCAGAAGATTTGCTCGGATCTCCTCCCTCACATCCCTGACTTGCCACCCAAGGATGTGGTCCGGTGCATCAAGTCTTTCTCTTACCTCAAATGGCTTAACCTGCCCTTCTTCGAGGCCTCTGCAGAGGTGAGCTGCAGGGGAGTAAGGAAAACCTAAGGGGGGTTGTGAAGGATCCTGAGGTCGGCAGAGCAAGCAGGTCAAGGGGGAGAGGCCCGGAAGTGATAGTCAACTCCTGGTGACTTCCAGATCCATCTGACTTTGCCTCTTTTTCATTGATTGAATGGAAGAGTGGTCACACGTTTGGCCTTGCAGTTAACATCCAAACAATGAATATCATAGAAGGAGGGTGGGAAAGCAGAACACATTTCTTTCCTTGGGAATGTTGGTGTTTCAACCCAATATACAGCCTTTTTGTAAAAAAAAAAAAAACAGCTCTTGTTAAACCTAGTAACCTAGTACCCAGTACTAGGTATAAAAGTAAAGTTTCCCTCAAGGTGAATTCAATTCCTGGTGACTTCATAAGTGTGTCTATGAACAACTGGCAACAACTCAAAAAGGAGTTTCTGCTATCATTTTCCCAGATTTTTTATTTTTTATTCTCAATCTAGCCTACAGCCCTGTTACTTCCTGGTGATCTCCTATCCAAGTGGTAACCTGGTTTGCTTGTTCTGAGTTCAACCAAGGTTGGCTCGGTGCTGTCCCTTCTCCTGTCCAATTCCCTGGCTCTGTACAGTAAGGGACTATGACTAAAATCATAATACAGACTCAAGGAACGGGCATACATCCCATAAGAACGTCATGGCTTTCACAAGCCATGAACCTGCTCAATCTAGGATGGAAATGTGTATCTAGAGATCATTGGCATACTGATGACACGTCACCCTAAATTAGTGGATGACCTCTCTCCACAGCTTCACATATATGGTAAAGCATACAGGAAAGAGAAGAACCCTACAGTGTCCCACCCCGGAGTGAGCTACCCATTTAGGAAAAAGTGGAACTGTTCCAGGCAGTCCAGAAAAATGCCATGATCTGTGATACTGAGTGCCACTGATAGATCTGGAAGGGCCAGAAGGGCTAACCTCCCCCTGCATTCGGGTCCAGATGTAGGTCATCTAACAGTGTACCAAAAGAGTTTTTGTCCCGTGCTCAAACCAGAGACCTGACTGAAAAGGAACTAGATCATCTGCTTCCTCAGGGGTCTTCTGGAGTTGGAGTCCCACCACTCTCCACAATCTACCTCCAAAAGGTTATCCAACTAGGCTGGATCCAGGGAAACCCTCTTCCAAAGGGGGATGTGTTACCACCTTTTTCAGCCAGCCTCACATCTGAGCGCCATTTGCAATCTACCCTGCCGGCTTCCCCAGAAAGTCATTGGGGAAGCCAGCAGGGAATGTTGCAAGTCGCTGGGGTAAGTCTCCCCCACCTGCACACCCTTCCCCAGACCCTCTGTGCTCATGCTGCACCAGCCACTCGGGCACCTCTCTGACCTGCGCCACACCCTCCCTGACCCTCATCACACCCCCGTGCATCCTCCTTCACCCTGCCAGACCCGCGCCACACCTCTTGCACACCCCCTCGCTCCCTCCCCCACCCAGCATCAGCCACTTACCTGCCTGCCAGCCTGGGACTTACAATTTCCTGCCAGCTTCACCAGTGACTTTGGTTGTAGGAAGCTGGCAGGAAGTTGCCTCACCTAACAATCATGGGATTCAGTTAATTATGGCAACTGGGACTGCAGGGATTGCCATCGCTAAGCAATGCGGTCATGCTTTATGACCGCATCACTTATTCGTGAAAATTCTGGTCCCAATTGCTGTCGTAAGTTGAGGACTACCTGTACTTTGATCCAACCTCCATTTTGGAAAGATGACAGTGTGCTGCCCCAATCTCAAGGGTCTTCCTTGCTCCTTCCCTGCCCCAGTCAGCCCATCTTCATTATGGAAGTGACCAGAAAGAGTGGAGCATTTATCCATTCTGGCTGAATCTTTAGTTTTGGCCCTCATTTTGGAATATGGTGAATTGGTTAAAATTGTGTTTATGTCTTTACTGGTGTTTTCTACATCATTTGCTTTGCAATCTCTGTTGTGCAGACAGTTCATCTTTTTTTCCCCCCTCAGTACTTCATCAACAATAGCAAGAAATTTACTAAGATGGAGTTAATTAATCTCCTCGTTTCTTTTGCTCGCTTGAATTTCCATCCGAGCAACAAAGACGTCTTCTACTCCAAGGTAATTACTTTTTCTGTTCTGTAGTTGGGGGTAAAGGGGCTGCTCATGTCCTGTGGATGAAGCTGGAGCCAAACCCAAAACATTGTTTCATCCCTGAAATGAAACTTTCTGTTGATACTCTATACAGAAACAATACAAAACCCTAATATAAAGAAATAATTCTCTGCAGGAAGAGAAAGTACAAGCCCAGTATAAAGAAAAAGGATTGGAAATTAGATTAATCTCTCAACAGAATGGCTGAAAAGTAATTACCACGAAAGAGGGTAGCGGAAGCTGCATGGACCAGAAAGAAACAAATTATGTTACAGTGTGCCAAAGAAATGTGTGGAGTTATGCTGATAGGAATTACAAAAAAGGAGGCCTAGCAGAATGATGAGGTTGAGAAAAGAAATGCATATAAGAGAATGACTGCTGCAAAAAAATGAGGAAAATATTGTCTAATGGGCATGAAGAGAAAAAGGATAGTTACAAAGAATGTAGTCAGTGAGCAAGAAATGGTTAATACAAAATGGCAGAGAAAACCCAGAGCAGTTTTGATGGAAATAAAAATTGTTTTGGAAGATGGTGTTGAGGGCTAAAAAAAAGAATCCTCCAGCGGAGCTTCCAGATGAATGGATGTGGGACGAAACTGAAGGGAAAAAATGCTTGAAGCTGTATTTTAGATGTATATATGGGAATAAGAGCAATGTGTTGAACTGAAACCAATTCTATCAATGTTAATGTCCCAGAAAAAAATAAATGAACAAACGAAAGGGAAGTAATAGATGCTGTGAAAATGTTAAAAAGGCTGCAGGTGTAGACGGTGTGAATGGAGAAATATCAAAATAAAGGCATGGTTTGCTTATGGAGCAGCCATGCAATTATTGTTCCAAAAGGAAATTCAGCAACACCGAATACCCAAAGTGCAGGGGATTAGCTTGTTAAGGATGCCTAAGGAGGCTGTTGGCCAAATCCTGCTCCAGAGGGTAGAAGCGGTCAAACTTGGGGAAGTCCAGTGACGTTTGATGCTCGGCAAGGGAATGCCGACCAGATGTTTGGCCTTCTGCAGGTGGTTGAGAATAGACTCAATGTGAGAAAGTAAGCTTGAGGTGCACGTTTGATAACTTTAGAGAAAGCATATGATAAAAATGAGAGTTTTGCACGGAGATGGAGTTGAGAGACCACGATAAGAGTGGCATACGATGGAAATAAAGCATGTCTGAGAATAAATGGAACGCTTAGTGAATGGTTCAGCAGGACAAAGGCATGTGATGTCCTTGGTTGTTTAATGCAGGGTTCCTCAACCTTGGTGACTTGAAGATGGGTGGACTTCAACTCCCAGAATTCCCCA